TTTATCATAAATATTTTTATGGAGGTCTCCCTCTCGTCACCTGATTACAGAGGTTAACTTGTATAGATCAAATGGTCCCCATCAAAGATGCCCAGTCACTCCATTCTTATCAAATCTCATCACAGGTCGCCCCTTGGTCATCTGACCACACAGGGATTGACCTAATCACAGGAGAATTCTCGGTACACCTAGAATATGCAGACGACATATTCCTGTTAGGCGAAGACGCTGACAAGATGCAGTCTTTTGAACACCTTGAGTGGTGGTGATTTGAGAATGTTTGGGATGCGAATTGCCGTTCCAGGACTGGTCTCCAACAATTTTCCGGCTAACAATAGAGAGTGTAGTGATTGAGTGTGTCGACCACTTCACTTACCTGGGAAGTAGGATCAGCCCTGGTGACTCAGTGGCCAACGAAATCTCTGCACGGATATAAAGGCCTCAGTTGACTTTTGCAAACTTACGCCATCTGTCGCGCCGTCGCGATATCCGATTGCCTATCAGGGGTCAAGTGTACTATGCTGCAGTTCGCTTTGTTCTATTGTTTGGTCGTGAAACACAGCCAATAAAGGTAGAAGACATGAGGTGGCTTCAGGTGTTTCACCACCGGTGCCTCCGTAGCACAGGCTATGTTTCGTGCTGTCACCATGTGAGTATCGCGGAAGTCAGATGTAGAGTTTTAGGGAGGAAAGGTAAGTCAGTTGATACGGTTGTGAACCTTCATCGAGTGAGATGTTTGGGACATGTGTTGCATTTGCCTAGCCACCGTCTGTCTCGTCACACAATGTTGGCAGAAGTAGGTTCAGGCTTTAAACTTGCTCGGCGCGATCAGGTCAATGCATGAAGTCTTTGACTGTAGGTTTGAGCCATGTGGGGCGATGTAGACTAGCCGGTTGGGGTCTGTGGGATGAGACACCAGTGGTTGGAGACTCTAGGTGATATGGCCCAGGACCAGTTTCAGGGGCACAGATGTATTCACACATTACCCTCATCTTAACCGTGATACTTATTCTCATCATTTTCTCACTCCTCCTTCCTCCCTTTTACTACTTTCAATTATTTTAAACCGATTTTTCTTTACTTCCCCATCTTTCATTTTATTACCTTGTCACTTGATGTGCTCATATAAGATGTGGTAACTTGGACAGTTACTCAGTAATGCCTGGTTTTATTTCGATCTTGGTGATGGTAATGACTCGGACCAACAGTAAGATTCCACCGTCTGCTGTCATGTCTTCGTTCGGTCACACCCAACCACCCCAAACTAATGCGTCACTTAGTACAGCATAGCCAGGTGACCGGTGGATCGATACACGCAGAACATGTGTAAGCCATCTCAGTCGGTGAAGGTTCACAACCTCATCAATCGAATTGCGTCTTGCACAGTACACTTCGCCTGACCTCAACATTGCTCACACAGTGACTCCACCAAACGCGAGCAATGCTACGAAGACACCTGTCTTCCACTTCTACACCCCGTGTCTCACAGCTGTACAACAGAACGGAACAAACCCCACCATAACATACTCGTGCTTCGATAGATAGTCGGATATCTCACCAGTTGAAGCAAGTTGGAATATTCCAAACGGGACTTCTGTGTCGGAGCTGAGATTTCGTCAGCAACCGAACACCTCGAGTTGACGCAACTCCCTAAATAAGTCAAGTGGCCTACTACTCTACTCTCTATCATTAAACTGGAAGTACTTGCACCAGACCAGTTCTAGAGTATCGTCTTACATCTGACAGATGTGAAATGCAAGCCAAACATACTCAGAATCCTGCGCAACGCGTTCGGAAGACCCTGTTTTTTTGACTGTCTTCACCTAGCAGGACAATGTTGTCCAAGTACTCTACCCAACCAGATGGCCAGAGAGAATGTCAACCTTTGTGAAGTCACACGTACCTTAGGTTAAGTCCATTAGTTCCTCTATAGCGAAGTCAAATATGTAAGGTGATAGTCAACACCCCTGGCGAACACCACTAGTTTCGTCACTTCACATGACAACTCTCTATAAGTCCTTACATCCCTGCTTGAGTCGGAGTAGAAAGCCTTGATTAGCGTTATATGGTTGCCTGGTACTCCTTTCAGAGTCACACACTGACACAACACTTCATAGTCGAGAGAGTCAATGTGGCGTTCAGGTCAACAAATATGGCAAGTATCGGCCATCGACCAGTAGATATAACTGTGCTCCAGAATCTGTCGTAGGGCAAAATATCATCGGTGGACCCTCGTTCAGCTGTCTGAAACCTGCTGGTTTTATCGAATGAGCTGTTCTTGAGCTCCAGTTAGGTGATGGATTAGTATGGGTCCTAGAATTTCAAACACTATTAGTCAAACGAATTGTCCTACGTTTCACAGGAAGTTGCCTCCGCTCTTCATTGCAACCAGAGACAGATGGAATAAGTCTTCTCGCACCAATTGGTTCCGATGACATTCATGAAATCTAATAGCTTTTCCTCACCTTGAGGTGTACGTGACCAACTGTCTTTACCGCTGTTTCTACAGCAGACTTGATATCACGCCAGGTTTCCTCAGCATAAGCATTGAAGTCAAGTTCAGACAAATGCTTATATATCGCTTCCCTAAAGTCGGAATTGACGTAACCATGTTCCATTCGACCAGTAAGGCGCAGACATACACGTTCCTGTACTAGCATGTGATCGGAGTTCAAACTGGTACTGGAGAAAGAGCGGCAGTCCCCCATCGATCCTCTTCAACGATAGCTTATAGCGACGTCATCTATCTGTGTCCATCTTTAGTTTGAAATCGGCAGACACCATGTGAAACAGTGCCTCTCCTTATGCCTTAAGTTTGTGCTGGTCAGAAACAAGTGGTTGTCGCGACAAAATTGCAACTGACGATCGCTGTTGTCGGTCCCTTGGGATGAGATTTCATGAATACCTCCCGAGTGCCTCTTCGACTGACTCAGCTTAGCTTCCCTACCTCAGCCTTAAAGTTACTGGAATTATGATTACATCTGAACCTCTTGCTTTCTGTAGCAGAATTGACCACTTCTTATAGAATTCATCCTTTGCATCATCCAAACTACAGTCAATGGGTGTGTAGATGGAGATAACGAATAGGCATAGCCTAGTTTCACGGTCCTTTCTAGTCTTTATGGATCCATTCAGTCAAACAGCACATAGACGACTCTTTACTGGTTGGTATCCAGTCGAGAGGCATACTTTTTGCCTTACAACTAGATGCTATGCCCGCAACAGCAAGTTTCCGGATACTCGTAAAGTAAATTCCGAAGATTCAGGGATTAGCCAGCCGAGGTCAATATAATAACCACACTCCAGTCGTGTACACATGTCTCAGAGGCACAGCACACATCCATGGCTAGAGATTACACAGTTCTGGAGAGTCCGATCTGGTATAGAGTTCAGACGTTGACACCTCCTACATGAATTCAATGGTGGGGTCTTAAGAGACTGCGAATGAGGTTTCGATAGTCGGCAGTGGTTGCAGAGTCAGAGGATGGGTAAAGTGAAAGAGGTTTGATGTTAGTATCACGAGGTGAACCTAAAGGAGACAGAGTTGAGGACGACAGGTGACATTTGATTGGGCCTTGTGTACTACTGGGAGCATGCGGGGGTTGACACTTTCCGACTGCCCACACTCTCGAAGGCTAGTTCTTCTTAAGGCACCCGAAAGAGAAAAAGATTTGTAACCATGAAGTCCATGGGACATCTGCTTGAGGTCTGTCACACACGGCCTTTTGTGAGTTGTTGTTTTAGATAATCTAACAGCGGATAGACGGAACCGATACCGTTGGAACCGGTAGGCCGTGAGGTATGGCGGGGTGTGTTATTTTTGTAGCCAACCTTTTCTAACACCCATCTCAGCTAAGAAAACAGAATCCAGCGTAGCACTGCTGGTCATCCAAGGGAAACACTGTACTTCTGTTGTACGCGTCCAGGTAACAGCAGTTGAACTTCGCCATCAGACCCCCATAATAGGGTAGTATTTTACATTACAACAACAGCTGATCATTTTGCCACGGTAGGACCGCGAGGGAACAAGATTTCGACCAGTGTATCTCGTTGGGCCATTGTGACATGCAAGCCCGACCAACACGTCTAGGTAGCAGCTATCGCCTGAAAAGCATGGCCGTCGAATGCAGAACATATGAAGAGATTAGAGGCTTTTGACCTTAGGTGTATTCGTAGCATTCTCCATGTATAGTCAAATCACCATGTGACTAATCTCGAGGTTAGGAAAAGGGTAATGGTAAAGACAAACAAGTCAGTCGATGAGGTAGTAAATCTTCAGCGACTGTTGTGGCCTGGACATCTGTTGCTCATGCCAAGCCACCGCTTATCTCGACATGTAGTGCTGGAAGTTAGATCAGGTTGGAAAAGGGAGGGATTAGGATGGTCAGACTAAAGCGTGGCAGTAGTTCTTCAGGTCTTTGACAATTGGTCTCAGCCATGTGCACAAGTGCTGACTACTTGGCTGCGGTCACCGAGATCATAGGTATTAATGGTTTGAGACTCTTGATGAAATGGACGAAAATCGACCACAAAGGAGCCGAGTATTTACTCTCTGACCTCTTTTAAGGCCTGGATATTTTCCCTAACCTCCATTTTTCTAATTCTCTCGTCTACTTTGTTGTAGGCCTTTTTCTGTCCATTTCCTCTTCTCATGCTACTGTGAAGTGTGGCAGGTTGAACCAATGTACTTCTCTATGTTATACGTTGATTCTGTCTTCAGACGTCCACTCACCTGATTTGAAAGCAGTCATACTATCTTACTTTGGATGAAAACTTTCCAAGCTTACATGTTCCATCAAGTATGCCAAAACAGATAAGTAAATTAGGAAGACTTCCAACTCTCAGCTATGAGTAACATCATGATAGATCTTTCACGTGCATTCCACATGCTAGAATTATATATGTGATCAAGTTGATACGAAAAACAGGTGCTTAGGTTTCGAAAGTTAATATCACCACTAACGTAATGATAAAGATACACATCACAATCACGAACAGACCTTCCCAAAGTTAGAAGACTTGAATTAATATTTCCAGCCTCGCGAATACGTAATACTTGACCAGCTGTAGCAGCCTTTACAGTGCGCTCACTCCCAGCCAAATCACAAAACATTAGAGTGCTAACTCGGGCGAAATTAGGATTGCTTTTATCCGCTACTCGAACAGCCTTTATAAACAGAATACTGTGTGATCTGGAACTTGCTTGGTTCAAACGGGTTGATGCAACTTTTTGGCATTGACGACCGATCGCAACAAGCCGTAGACCTTCTTCAGGTGAGCAGATAGGGTACCACTTTACACCTGCAAAATATTTCGCAGAGAAAGCATCAGTATAAGCGTAAAATACTTTAACTACTTTTGCAAAACACGATAATTATAAATCTCTACCGACTCTTTATGCTTAAACTATCTAAACAATCAGAACGACTTTCTTACAGATCAATAGCTGAATTTCCGTACAACCCAGAAAAATTGCAACTGATAATTTCTGAATCCGCAATCATTTGTTGGAGAACAAAGTATGCACGATTTGATATCTCACGACCAGTGAATGTAAGAATGCAAGATGTTAGAAAAACGAACTAAAACGTAGATGGTAAGACTAGAGCAGAATAAACGAGCCTGCAATTAACTGGCATAGGAGACCATTAAAACAAAGGATACAAAAATCTGTAGTGTAGCTAACATGGCCATCAGTTACTCATCGGTTGCTCGCCACCTGGTAGTAGTCTGATTATGACACAAATAAAGGTTCACAAGTTTTAAAGACCAGGCATTACTGAGTAACTGTCCAAGTTACCACATCTTATATGAGCACATCAAGTGACAAGGTAATAAAATGAAAGATGGGGAAGTAAAGAAAAATCGGTTTAAAATAATTGAAAGTAGTAAAAGGAGGAAGGAGGAGTGAGAAAATGATGAGAATAAGTATCACGGTTAAGATGAGGGTAATGTGTGAATACATCTGTGCCCCTGAAACTGGTCCTGGGCCATATCACCTAGAGTCTCCAACCACTGGTGTCTCATCCCACAGACCCCAACCGGCTAGTCTACATCGCCCCACATGGCTCAAACCTACAGTCAAAGACTTCATGCATTGACCTGATCGCGCCGAGCAAGTTTAAAGCCTGAACCTACTTCTGCCAACATTGTGTGACGAGACAGACGGTGGCTAGGCAAATGCAACACATGTCCCAAACATCTCACTCGATGAAGGTTCACAACCGTATCAACTGACTTACCTTTCCTCCCTAAAACTCTACATCTGACTTCCGCGATACTCACATGGTGACAGCACGAAACATAGCCTGTGCTACGGAGGCACCGGTGGTGAAACACCTGAAGCCACCTCATGTCTTCTACCTTTATTGGCTGTGTTTCACGACCAAACAATAGAACAAAGCGAACTGCAGCATAGTACACTTGACCCCTGATAGGCAATCGGATATCGCGACGGCGCGACAGATGGCGTAAGTTTGCAAAAGTCAACTGAGGCCTTTATATCCGTGCAGAGATTTCGTTGGCCACTGAGTCACCAGGGCTGATCCTACTTCCCAGGTAAGTGAAGTGGTCGACACACTCAATCACTACACTCTCTATTGTTAGCCGGAAAATTGTTGGAGACCAGTCCTGGAACGGCAATTCGCATCCCAAACATTCTCAAATCACCACCACTCAAGGTGTTCAAAAGACTGCATCTTGTCAGCGTCTTCGCCTAACAGGAATATGTCGTCTGCATATTCTAGGTGTACCGAGAATTCTCCTGTGATTAGGTCAATCCCTGTGTGGTCAGATGACCAAGGGGCGACCTGTGATGAGATTTGATAAGAATGGAGTGACTGGGCATCTTTGATGGGGACCATTTGATCTATACAAGTTAACCTCTGTAATCAGGTGACGAGAGGGAGACCTCCATAAAAATATTTATGATAAAATTGAATAAGGATGGAGAGAGTGGCAACCTTGACGGACACCTCTCGATGAGCATAGCTCCCTGGACATCTCACCGTAGGCTTTAACCCACCCTTAAGTGTCCGAGTAGAGAGCCTTCAATAAGGTGACGTACTTACTCAGCCCGTCTCTTAGTGAAAGACATTGCCATAAGACTTCTCGATCAACGGAGTCAAATGACGTCTTCAGGTTGAGAAGTACAGATAGTGTCGGGCGTCAGGGATTGTCTCTGTGTCCCAGGACCTGGTGCAGTGTGAATATTTGGTCGATACACCCACGGCCGGGTCTAAATTCTGCCTGGCTTTCTTGGGCTTGCTGTTCCCAAGCTCCACTTCGGCGTCGAAGAATTATAGAACCTATAATTTCAGACACTATGTTCGTCAAGGTGATTCCTCGGTGGTTATTAAAAGAGGACCTCTTGCCTAACTTGAAGACTGGGATAATCAGTGATTTAGACCATTCAGAAGGACCGCATTTGATCCCCACATACTGGTTAGCACTTCTATTAACCTAAGAGCAACCTACCATCATCCTGGTATACCTCAAGAGTTAGTCCGTCTGATCCTTCTGCCGTTCATCTTTCAGGTTATCTACAGCTTTCACGACCTTCGCTAGTGTTGGGGGCCTGTCTTAATGTTCCTTCAAAATCCGGCTGGATAGCGGGCAATGCAACGGTGGCTGGAGGCCAGTTAAACCGTTGCTCGTGGTAATCTACCCATCGTTCAGTCGTCTCCACTGCAAAGGAATCACAGATGTGTCGCTCTCCGCTACAGCCTCACTAACAGTTGTTGACCTTTTTCCCCAGTCTCCTTAATAAGTCTAAATAACTGTCTACTGTTACCGATCGCCGCTGCCTTTTCCATCTCTTTAGCCTTCGCTGCCCACCACTGTTCACGATCGTTGCGCAGACTTTTCGTCAGTTTATTTGCGCTCGCTCTTCATTGTACTCAGAGCCTGCAGGGATGCATTCACGTGCATCCATTAGTTTGGAAGAAGCTGCTGATATCCACTGGCTCTTTTTAGCCATTATCTTGGAGTCGGCTACAGTCTCCAGTGCTGCTTTTACAGTAGACTGAAGATGGCACCAAGCTTCTGGATGAGTGACAGTCTTCTGTTCCGATGATAACTGCCTAGCCAACTTCTCACTGAACACAGCTTTGGTGTTTTCGTTATCCAGCAGCACTCGTAGTGGCTTTGTCGCCAAATTTTTCTTACGTCCATTTAGACGCAGGCATATACGCGCTCAGACCAACGCATGATCGCTGTCCAAATACGTACTCGAGAAGGAGCAGCAGTCTTCCATCGATCCTCTCCAGCGGTGACTTATAGCAATGTGGTCTATCTGTGTCCATCGCTGCGTTGAGCTCGGTGGACGCCACGTCAGACAGTGTCTTTCTTTATGTCTGAAATCGGTGCTGACTAAAGATAGGCGGTTACCTGAGCACAGTTGTAGTAGGCGATCACCATTATCTGTTCGTTCAGCCGGGACTCTGAAAGTGCCACCTAAGTGCCTTTCTGCCTCACTCAGTCTACCCACCTGTGCATTGAAGTCACCTGCAACAACCACCACGTCCGAACGTTTGGCTTTCGAGAGGAGGCTAGACAGTTCACGGTAGAACTCGACCCTCACTTCATCCGAACTACAGTCAGTGGGTGCGCAAGTAGAGATTACAAAGAGACAACGGCGAGTCTCACTATTCCTTTTAGTTCTCACTGTGCCATTCAGTCGGATAGCGCAGAGGCGACTATCAACTGGGATCCAGTCTAATAGTGAGTTTTCTGCCCTAATGTTTAGTGCTATGCCTACACCTGCAAGACCCCGAGAGCTAGCTATCGAATCTCCAGAAACTCAAAGGGTGAATTTCGCGGATTCACCAGATTGGCCGGGAGAGGTCAGGTGAATAACCGCACTTGGGTCCTGTATGCGTGTCTCACAAACACAGTACATATACATGGTCCGAGTCGCTAGAGTCTTTGCCAATGAAGTCTGTTGACCAATTTGACGGAGGGTGCGGACATTGAAGGCTCTAATATGTAATTTGGAGCGTGGTTTAAGGAGGCCAGGGATGCTGTTCTATGGACTCAGATGGTTGTCGAAGGTTGCAGAGATAGGAGAAATTGAAGATGATGTAGTATCTTGAAATAATGGAGAATATTTGTAGCTCAGGACTTCATACTGAAGTTAGTGCTGATGATGTCGTCTAGCAAGACGATGAAAGCTTCACGATTAAATAACCCAGCTCAGAGAACACAATACAACGAAGATCATGTAGTATCGTTAGTTGAGAGATGTGAAGGAAGACTAGAAGGTAATGATGGAGAAGGTGGATAGCAGTCTGAGGAAACTTGAGAGCTGATCGAGTTGTGAGGGCGGTTGACACTTCCCGGCTGCCCACACCGTGGAAGACCATTTCTTCTTAAGGTACCTGAAAGAGATTTGTGTGACTGCAGAGCCCATCGGACATCTGTTCGAGGCCTGTCACACCCAGCCTTTTGAGTATGATTATTCTGAACCTTTGTTGTTTTGGAGCCGGATGGTCGAAAAGAAACGACAAATGAACCAACATCGCTGGTGTGTTATTTTTGGGGCCGACGTTTTCTGACCCCAGCCCCTCCCCCATTTCCACTGAGAAGGCAGCATTAGCATGGCGCTGCTGGTCATCCAAGGGAAACATCTTACTGCTGTCACACCCCATCCAGCTAGCAGTAGTACCACTTCACCCTCAGACCTCCATCATAGAGTAGTAATTTACACCACAACGGCAACTGCTTTTCGTCTAACCACTATCCAACAGACCTTTCTGGTATGGTAGGACCTCCACCAGCATAGCGCGTTGTGTCATTGTGATATGCAAGCCCGACCACCACGCCAAATTAGCAGCTATCACACAGACAGCCCTCAAATGGGACCACTAATGCAGCATTACATGCACGTCAAATTTCGTCTGCCTATAATTCCAGTGCAAACTCCCAAAAATTGGAATCATTTTAAAGACTTTCTAAAAACTAACACTAACTCAGTTCGACATCTCCAGTGGTAGCTGTTGCATACAAATAATGCAGACGACGTTTCAATGGGGTTTTTGTAGTGCCATCATAAGGGTAGTCATCTAGTATGACCAATCTTAAAACTGCCTACATTAACTTCACATGCAGGCTGACACAACTTGCAATGCGCTAACGCAACCTTACAGATAGGTGTTTTCAGGCTACATTTCCACTAGTGTCTCTGTACCAAGAAGCACCTACAGTATCGGGAATCGACCTGATAATAAACTAGTGTAATAAATGCCAGCGACTTTGGGCTGACTACAAAAATACCTCTGAAAAGTAAATAACTGTGCATTCCCGTCTGCTAACATCTAAAGTTCATTGCTTGGTGAAATCCAACGCATTAGTTTGTATGATTAACCGGCATGAGGAAATATCAAAAAATAGTGAACCATCCTACAGAAAATCACTGTGCGCAAATTCCGAAAAATAGACGACTTTCAATAAAATACCTTTCACAAAAAGATTCCCGTTCTTGTCAGTCCTCAATTCGAGTGAGGTTCTTCGTAGATAGTTCGCAAAACTGGATGTATCAGACACATTGTTAGTCACACTGAATATATTCCGGAAATTTGTCTGCTTATGCGTTGTCCGAATATTTCCAGTACCATCTGATGCCATGGTAAGCATACTTGAGCATTGTACAGGATCCAGAAGATCGTAGAATGTTTCGTTGTAAATCTCCACAAAACTTATCCAGAAGCTGAAGCGAATGTTACCGATGCACCTTAAGTCTGAACTACGGCCTGACAATAGAGTACTGAATATGATATTAAAACCATACTTTAAATGTATCTTTTAAACTCATTAATCCTTTCTCATCGTCCGGAAGAGAGGTCATCTAGAGCGATAAAAAAGCTTAAAACACCTACCTCGAAGATCCCTTCAGAAAGCTTGATTAAATTGGATTTGCCTGCTAAGACCTTCTGCACTTCATCTTCGCTTAGATAAACTACATCTGAGAAATCTCGTGGCATCAAAGATGGGTCACTACAATGTTTCACCAAACTGAATATTGAATATAATGACCGAGGGATAATCCCAGCATCATTACGAGATCCTATGAAATATAATAAGGCTATATGCGCAAACCTTGAAGTGTGTATGTTTTGCCAGAACTGGTAGTCCCATAAGCAAATATAAGTCCGTTCAACCCGTCGATGAATGCGCTAACTTTGTCGGCAGCCACCACTTCAAAAACCTTAGCCTGAGTGGCAGATTCACGGAATATGCCGTTGAAAGTAAACTTATTGGCACTTTTCTGAAAATTACGAGATGGATGCTTTTGACCATCAGCTTCCGGAGGACAGGCAATAACTGTATATGCATCAGAACAAGATAATACCTTACAAGACTATTAGTAACTTTACTACTTCCATACCTTGTTAGTTACTTCATTGTCATACACATAAGGTCTTATTCTTAAATACACTTCCATGGGTGACGATGACCAGTACATGATTCGAAATCAGTCAGTAGGTTACAGTTTATGCTGGAAAGTCTGAAGTCTTCTATCACGCCAACAGACTGTGACCTTGGGCAAATGAAGGACAGTGCAGATGGACTGCTATCTGGTGTTTCCACAGTCATTGTACGTTAACACAAGAACTTAAAACCCAGCCAGTCCGTAACCACCGCCGAAAAACTGGAAACTGTAACCTTGAAAGAATTAAACAAGCTAGTACATTGGAACTTCTTATTTAGAAATTTAAATGGTAGACAGGTTGAGAGGAGCTAATATATTATTTGCCAAGAGAAAAGTTTCGCACTACTATAGTTATTACATCTCACTCCATGTAAGAATTATGTTGGTTATTTGCATCTTCAGTCCAATATACAGTTTCTTTTAATGAATTAGTGTACACCAGTAGATCTTTATGCCCTTGCTTCTAGGTCTTGCAGAACAGTTTCAGATGTGTGTGGATTCCAAGGCAGTAGGTCCACCCACTTGCCTGCTGTAGGTGGCCCCATAGCCGCTTATGTGTTGATAAGATTTTTAGAGACTGTATGATTTGTAGGACTGTGGTGCATATAGGTTCCTAAGGTGTTGTGTCGCTAGACAGTTGTTCTGACTGGCTGTAATAGAGAGGTAGAACAGATACCGAGCCAGTCAGAAAGCGAAGAAGTGCGAAGAACAAAGGCAAGGTGGAAGGGTGCGGAACGGGACGAAAAGAGAAACGAAGATTCAAGGGAGATATGTGATCGGGAGAACCCTAGTAAATAGAATGAGATCATAGAGTCAGAGGGAAGAGTTGGAGCGAACAATATTGCCGAACGAGTTATAGGAGGAGAAAAACCCGTACGGGGATGGTCGATTTGAGTAAGTACCCTTACAGCAGTGGCCTAGGTTGAGCTAATGACAGTACAAAAATATTCGGTACGAGTTTTACTGTCCTTGGTTGTACGGAGTTAGCGAATTGCACCAACCTGATTGGTATCCCACCTGGGTAGGAGCAAACAGTGTGTCACTGTGTGGCTTTCCGGCCTCTTTTAGAAGCAATCGACGGACGTGAATGTAGCAATCTCCGCTGCCAATGCGCTCCAGTGGTCGAAATCTCGCAGGCAGGAAAAGTGTGAAAGCACATAGGTTTTCACGTTTCGGTGAGGGACTCTCCTTGGTTTTCCACGTGGACCACCGTAGTGGCTGTTCAGTAGGATTCCGTTGCTCGGATGACTTTTACTACTTAGAATTTTTTCAGTCGTTATCAAGTCACCGCTCAACCTACATTAGCTAAGAGAGTAAAGCCCTAGGTCTTTTGGCCTATTCTCGCGCCACTTTTATCGCTTCTTTACTCGCCCCTGGAATTTCTCCAGGAGGTTCATATCTTTTTCAGGTAAGGTGCTGCAGTGACGTTCTGGACCTATTCTTGAGGTCGTTTGTAGGTCCTGTACAAATTCAGGAAGAGTTGAGAGGCGAGAGAACCTAGTTGTTTGCTTTTGAAGTTCAGTGCTGTGTAGGCGTTTTAGGAATCCCCTGGATAATTGGAGCAGGTGTCTAGCTTGCCAGTCAGTAATGGTCCGAGGATTTTTCAGTAGTCCTGGTTGAAAGCCACACTCCACAGAGAGAATAGGATACCTTTTGAGCTTCAGGGGCGAAAAGAAGCTTGGTTAGGCATTTATCCAGGTTATGTGGTGGTTCTTTATTCCTCACCCACTCTGTAAGTAATATGAGATCACCATAAAGTTCACTTGGTTCTGTTCCAGATTTCTCTGCTTTCCACAAATAAACCTCGTTAGATCAAAGTAAAATCAGGGAGCTCACACTCAGTGGAAGACCCTTCACAGAAAAAAAGAATAAAAGCGGACCCAGAACCGGTTATTGTGACACGCCAGTTGATGAAGTCTTCTACGCCGAGCAAACCCTGTTAAATTTTGTCGGGGACTCCCGGTCGTCAAAGTAGTCTAGTAGCCAGATTATTTGACAGGTGATGCACATCCATAATATTTTGCGACCAGGAATGACGTGTACCACTGCGTAAAAGGCCCTGGCGAAATCCAGAAAAATGACAAACCTGGTGGTCCAACCACACCGCATAATTACCTCTGGTTGCAAAAACGTTATGAGATGAGGGAGCTGCCTTTACGGAAACTGCTGAATGAGGTTGATGAAGATTTGTGGCACTAAACAGGTAGTGTTGAGGCAACTGCCAAATTACGTCTCGGTCGATGCTGCAGAAGGCCTCTCTTGATTTTCCGATCCTGGCTTTGACGTCTTCATCTGTGCCTGTGCCGCCTGTAGTTGAAACGATGCTGCCTAGATGGGTAGGTGAAAGAGACCACTTCCTTTAGATTTCTCCCGTTAATGGCGATTGATGCTTGTTGGTGGTGTGTCTTTATCACCTCCATCTTCTCCATATTCACTTGAAGTCCCGTTTTCGCTGTCTCTTCTGTCAACTTGTTAGTTTCTGCCTGTAGATCTTCGAGTTTGTGCGACAAGACATTAGACATTAATTATCATCGGCGAAATCCAAATCTTCTTCTGTGGTCTTTTCATCCTTCCAGCCAGCGTATGCCCATCTTCTAGCTCCCCACGGTTTGCTGCATAGTCCAGTCAACCACAATCAGGAAGATCATGGGTGATAGTAGGCAACCTTTGTCTTACTCCTGTCTTCACCTCAAAGGCATCACTGAGCTTTCCACTGTGAATCACTTGGCATGTGGCGTCTTCATATAGCTGTTGAATGAGGTTGATAAAGATTTGTGGCACTAAAACCGTAGTGTTGGAACAACTGCCAAATTACTTCTCGGTCGATGCTGTCGAAGGCCTTTTCAAAATCGATGAAGTTGAGGTAGAGAGTTGACTGCCATTCTAAACTCTGTTCTATGATGATGCTTAGCGTAGCGTTGCGTTGCAATTTGATCCACACATGATTTGTTCTCCCTGAATTCAGCCAGCCAGCCAGCCAGCCTGTTCCGGTCGTAGTTTTGAATTCAGCGCATCCTTTAGCCTCTCCAGGATGATGCGGCATAATATTTCGCTTGCTTCGGGTGGACAGCAGAATGATTCCACGCCAGTTCTTGCAAAGACTTAGGTCACCCTTCTTTGGGCGTTTTATAAGGTAGCCCTGCTTCCAATCACCAGGTGCCTTTCCTTCCTTCCAGACCTTCTGCAGTAGTGGTGTGAACATATCCGCTGTTGTCTCTGTATCTCTGTCTCCAGTGCTTCTGGCGGAATTCCATCTGGTCCTGCTGCTTTCCCGGATCGCCTACCTGCAGCCTGTTCTGCTTCACTTGCCAATGTGTCTTAGAAGAGTCTTTTGTCTTTGCGCGCACTCTTCTTCACTTCTTTGTCCAGTGTTTTATACATTGTGCTCAGTTCCTCTTGTCGTTGGGCATCCTTGCACTGGTTTATCCTCTGCTTCACCATCCTCCTCTCCCTGCTCTATCGGCTTCCATGTATCCGTCGAGATCCATTCCTTGTCTTGCCTCTTCTTCTTCCTTCCTTATACGGTCATGCAGGTTTCCTTCCACATCTCTTTCAAAGAGTTCCAGTGTTCTTCCACACCCGATCCTTCAGGGGTGTTGCTCAATGTCTCCCATTTTGTCCTGATTACTGGCTGATGTGAAGATGTCTTTTGTAGTTCCATCCTTCAGTTCAGTTTCTGTTCTGTGTGTTGAACTTCAACTGTGGTCTATCACCGGCTTCTGTGAAGGCTTTCAACTTGATTTTGAAGGTTCTTTGCACTATGTAGTGGTGTGAGTGGTGTGGACCTACATCTGCTCCCCCTCTTGATGTGATCCTGTGTCCAGTAGGCTGCGTCTCCACTCTCTTCACATTGAGATGAAGTCGATCTGATTCTTAGTGTAGTGTGTCCTGGTGTCTGGTGAAATCCATGTTGCTGCCTTGTGAATACCCTTGTGTGTTTGTACACAGTGTCTCCAATCACCGAATCATTGAATGCGCAGAAATCCGCAAACTGTGTTGTCTGCTCCGAGTTTGGCATTCATGTCACCCCACCCATTAGAATGGATTGTGATGTCGCCATCTGGGGTGGGTGGGGTCTTGTCCAGTACTGATTGCAATTGTCTGTAGAATTCCTCCTTCTTCTCTTCATCTGCATTATTTGTAGGTGCATAGTGTAGCATTGTATGCTTGTGACTTTCCTTCTTTTTGAGTGGAATCTTGCTGT